TACCTCAAAGTTTGATGCAAAAACGCATGATCGCACCGGCTCGCCTGGTGCGTTCCAGCCTGGATTGCATGTACGTAAATTGCAAAAGCGCATATTGTAACGACCTTATCTGTGTGTCTATGTATGTGTGTGTGTGTGCGTGTGTGTGTGTGTGTGTGTGTTCGTATGTCCGGGTATTTCAACTCAGCGACCAAGCAAGTTCCGGCGCCAAAATTCTGCCAGTGGGCTTCCCAACCGCAATACCACCTTTCACGCACGTCCGGGCCCTGCGTACAAGCGAGTGAAAGTTTTGCCGGAAAACAACAACGCTAACTCGGGAACGAGAAAAGCTAAAAGCTGAAATTTTGAGGTTATGTTCCCCTCCCACATAGAACTCAAAGGTTTCAAATTCAGCCCCCAGGCGTGCATTGTTCCCGCGTACGATCTCGTAAGGGTTCCTGGCGCGAAAATCGCCAAAATGGGAACTAGAAAAGCTGAAAGGCCGAAATTTTAAGGGGATGTTCCCCGTCCATGCACAGATTAAACTTATCAAATTCAGCCCCGAGCATGTATGGTTCTCACGTATGGCCCCGTGAAAATTTTTGACGGGAAGAATTGCTAGCTTGAAATCCAGGAAAGCTGGGAGACCGAAATTTTACAAAGGTGTTCTCCGCCCATGACAACTTAAACTTGTCAAAAACAACCATGGGGCGTGCATAGTTATCACTCACGGCTTCGTAAACATTTTTGCTGGGAAAATTGCTAATGCGGGAACCATAAAATTTTTGGGAGAATATTCCCCGTCCACATACAACTTAAAGGTTTCAAATTCAGCGTCCAGGCATGCTTGGTTCTCGTGTACGGGCACTTAAATTTTTTGGCGGGATAATTGCCCGTTAACTGGGTCATTTTCAAACCCCGGGCTGGAAGGCGTCATGCGTTTTTGCACCGGACTTGAAGTACCCAGGTCGTAAACTGCATGAATGGTTCTTGTTTACACCTACCTTTTGCGGTTACTAGCACAAATCACCATAAATTTTACATAAAGTGCAATTTCCATTTAACAGTCGTCCTTTAAAAGTTACCTAGCTGTTCAGTAAGAAATTTTCTTGCCAAAACTTTAAGTGCCCGCACTTAAGAATCACGTACACTTCACGACCGAAATTCAGATATTTGAATTGCACTTGGTCAGAGAACATTCCCCCAAATTTCAGCCCCCCAGCTTTCCTAGATCCTGAGATGAAGGTGGGTGACAAAGTTTACTCCCTTCCGAACAGATCATCTCTCGACAGTATGCTTTTTTGCTGACTATAGCAGCACTACAGCGCTGCATAGCAAATGCATAACGAACGCTAAACGGAAATTGTTTATTTTCGTTTATGCGATTTACGGTAGTGAGCGTACAAGGTAGGTGTGAGGCCACAAACGTTCATGTAGTTAACTTAGTTACTTCAAGTTTGGTGCAAAAACACATGATCGCACTGACAAACTCGGTGCGTTTCAGCCTGGTTTTTTTTGCATCTTTGTAATGCAAGTTAGTAGGAGCGCGTAGCCAAATCGGTATGATCATGCGTTTTTGCATAAACCTTGAAGTAATCAAATTATTAATAGTATGAATTGTTGCTTTAAGGTTTTACAAGTGCATTCATGTTGGCAGTGTCTTTAGTCATTTGCTTTATATAGTATATAATAGGATATCGGCTAATGTTTGAGACAGTAGTACTGCATTATATGCATAATTGCGTGATATCTCAGCCTCCAGTATGCATAATTGCCGTGCAGAAAGATTGTAAAGAATTTTGCATCTTCTACACACGAGACGTGTGAAATTAAAGATTCTGTCGTGGTTTGCACTCAACGATAAATTAAGAGCCTCGGCGTGCTCTTGCCAAAGAGCAGCGTAAATGTGGTCCGTTCAGTGCTGTTTCAGGTGCGCAGAAGATCGCTTTATAACGCTTGGATACATGGCACAGGCTTATTGTGATGCAGGCGATTATCAGCAGATGTTACAGTATGCCTTGCAACAGATGGAATTGGCTAATAGACGGCAGGATGAGTACATGAAGAGCGAAGCATTCCTGAATCTGGCCAAGGCTTACGAACGATTGGCTGATTTCAGCAAAGCTATTGGCTACGGACGAGCCAGTGTGCAGCATCCGAGCATGGATCCGAGAACTCCCGGACATGCGCATCTCGGTAAAAGAATTAGTCTTTATGTGTTTTCATCCCACATCAAGATCATTTTTTTCCTTGGAATGTGCGAGTTTTTTTTCCATTGCAGTAATAGCGCTCGCACAGCTTGGATTTAGTCAGTTCCAAGCCAGTCTCGAAGCATTCGGAAAAGCGATGTGCGTCGCGAATCGAACTGCCGATAAATTATTAGAATTACAAGTGTGTGTTGGGCTGGGCGCTCTCTTCACTTTGCTCAGGTTTTATACTTATTTCCAGCTATATTTTTGTGCTGATTTTTGCAGTATCATGCGCCATATTGCCATCACCCTTCTGAAAACCCGCTCCTGAAAAGCTACTGCCGAAGGCTGCAGTGGCCAACAGATATTGACCTATTTTGCGTGCTAGCACTTCGTATTATCTCCAGCTTACTGTTCGAACATTCCCGAAACTACTGTCGCTTTTGTGAGCTGATAGAAGGCAGTGCAGTCGCTTAGCTGACTTGCTGAGTGTTAAGTTTCTGTTAAAACGGATGTGAGCAAATCTTTTAGTTACACTTTGCTATTGGTAAACATCATGAAGCTGAGTAAGTCTTGAAGGCCTTCACGGCCTGCCAAAAGACAAAATTCATTTTTATTCATTCTGTGAGAGGGAAATGAACGAAACGTAGAATAATCAAGCCGACTGGTAGCAAATCTCACTAGAACCAAATGCTGGCAAGGCTGTCGGTGGTTCTTCTTTCGAGGGTTGCTTGCAAGCAGACTGATAGCGAATTGATTGCCAGGCATATGCCAGTAACAGTTTGCCACCAAAACGAATCCTAAAGAGACTGGTTATCCTATTGGTGGGTTCGAACTTTCAGCCTTCTGCTGTTTACCACTGCGCCGTGTCTGTCGGCCGCGTTCTGTCCTAATAAGCTGCAGTGCTGCACTGTATAAACCGATATGTTATCAGTCGCTTGCTACACTTTGAAAAAATTTAGGGACATGTCAAAAGCAATTATATTTTTACGAAATGCACTAGCAATATTGCATGGCGTGACGGTTGATGATGTTCATGCGAAATATCGTAGTGTGGTTCTTTATCATTTATCGGTTGTGCTCAGGATAAGGGGTTCACTGGCCGATGCGAAAGCTGCCTGCGATGTTGGTTCTTTATTTTCTTTGTGAAAAATAACATTTGACGTATTTCGTTTAACCGTATATCTTCTTCTTCTAATCATGATGCTGGTTACTTTGATAACCCTCTTTGTCAGTTTTAATATCACCAATGCAATAGTGGTATGGCCCTAAAATCAATGAGTACAATAGTGAAATTGGCACACTTAGCGTAGTAATACATGACTAATTTTGTCGCTGCATTCGACCCTTTTAAGTCCTCCATCGTACTTTCTCTTGGAAACAAAACACAGATTTCTTACTTTTTCTACAGGTGCTTTTTCTTTCCTTGCTATTTATCCGTACCTGCTAAAATACTTTTCCTCTGGTGAGCAAAGATATCAGTTATTATATACGTAAAAATATGGAATTGTATTAGAAAATCAAACAAGAATTTTTAGGTCTGTTAAGTCATATATATTTCTTTTAAGTATCACAACTAGTCCTTGTCAGTACGGCGGTTGTAATGTTGAAAAACAAATAAAGTGAAGTAAATCTTTGTAAGAGAATAGGTGTAAGAGAATGTTCTTCAAAAAGTAAAAAGAGATTGAATTTAATGGGTAAAAGGGATCAATTTTGCACCGAAATCATCCAACACTGCGGCCTTTGCAAATTTAAAAGTAAAAGCGTAGAAATTTCCAAGCTTATCGCAGCGGCCTCCTGAAATAATCCACAGATCTAAGCGGTGACCAAGGCAATAACGAATTATCAACGGTTTGAAAATTTTTTACTTATAAGTAGCTATGAAAAGGAAATAAATTTACGATTATAAATGAAAATCATCAGGCTTTAACATTGAAGCTAATTACATTGAAACGCGTCTTCCCGTGACAAACTGTTTGTTGTAGGAGGCGATGCAGCTTGCACAGGAAACGGGTAATCGTTCTGTATATGCTCGATGTTTATGTTCTCTGGCTGATATATGCCGGGAATTAGGTGAATCTGAAGCTAAGGAAACCTTAACTGTAAGTTTCTTCAAGCTTCTATTCTGCCCCTTTTCTTCTCACTTTTGTTAGCTTTTACTATTAGCGCAAAATAAGCATGTAGTCATTTGCATCTCTGCTACTGATGGAATTCTGTACAGTCAGCTCAGTCCCTGTCCCAACCATCAGTTGGCGGGGAAGTACTACCTCATCTAAACTAGAAAAGGCGTTGTGTGTTTGCAGAAAAGTTGGGCTCGTTACGGTGAAGCATATCGAATAATGCGCCAAACAAACGATCGAATGGGCGAAATATTGGTTCTCGGAAGTATGGCCAAATCCGCATCCGAATGTCGCACTTATTACACTGGGCAGTGCGAGTGTCAGGTTTGTTTCTCTGCTTTTTGAATGAAATTCATTTCCGCGAACCTGTTCTATTTGTGCATGTTCTATCTACCTACCTGCGTAACTCAGTTAAGCAGTAATAAGTGCTGAAATTTTGAATCCGTTTATTAGTACTTATCTGTATTCCGCTATACTGGTTCTTTTTTATGCGTTTTGCTGCGCAGCGCTGCTACAGCCAGCAAAAACGCATATTGTCGAGAGGCTGTCTGTGTGTGTGTGCGTGTGT